TTGTGTTTGTTCCTATCGATATTTTTATTCCTGTTCAAATAATCTTCATACAAAGGAAACCTTCATTCCATCAAGTAGGATCCGAACACCATGTTCTGTACTATTTACAATGGTATCTGCAAGCACATAACATGATATATCCATAACCCATTCGCCAAGCACATGCAACCTAACCTAACCTAACCACCCACCATTACGCGTGAAATCATCACGCATCCCAACATCGTCTCTCATACTTAGTTATTGTGTCCCTTCTTATATCCAATCCCAAAAAATAAATCTTCATCTATGTATGAAAAGTGTCGAGCGAGTGCGAGTTGACAAAAGAGAATCTTCAATGTTGAGCAGATCACTCACAGAGAGCAATCTTGATGGTCTCAGTACCAGCCTTGGGCTTCTGAGCATAACCGTTGAGCATTCGGAAGCCGGATTTGCAGTTTCGGCCCTCCTCGAACACGGCAGCAACGCCATCCAGGCACTTGCCAGCCTCCTCCATGGCAGTTCCAGTAGTAGTAGTATCGGCGAGTCGGAGCTCACCAGCAACCTTCTCCATCTCACAGCGGAGGAGCCAGCGCTCCCAGTTCCAGCCGCCAGCAATGCTGCAAGCGCTTGCAATATCATCACTGCTTCCCATAACCATGGCGTCCATCTGGCAGGTCTTGACATCCTGGCCATTAGGGCTGTCCTTCAGAGGAGGGGTAGGAGGCTTGAACATATTTCGTCTGGCACCCATGGGCAGACACATCCAGATGCGGCGAGTGTCTTGGAAGCCGGCACGGGCCAGGCGACCAAGCCAAAGCTTGGTAGGGTTTGGGTCATAACCAAGAGTCTTGAGGGCAAAGCCGAACTCAACGCTCTTTGCCAGTCCAACGGGACCAGCGTTGATGATGTCTGAGTCCAAGAGTGAGAAATCAAGATAGCCACCGGGCTTGAGAACGCGCATGCACTCCTTGAGACAGGTGTCCCACTCGTCTTCCCCGTTTTCACCAAAAAGCTTGAGGATGCTGTGAAGTTCTCGGGCAGAAATGAGATCGAAATGGTTGTCTGAGAAGGGGAGACGAGAAAACTTCTCAACAGCAACTTGTCGATGGTTGGGGGGACCACGGACATTGCAGTTGGAAAGTTGACGAATGGACTTGGTTGTGACAGTGTAGACCTTGGTGTTGGGGAACTGGAGCGCGCAGTGCCACGCCCAGTCGCAGGTAGTCTGCCCGCCCAAGTCAAGGACTCTAGCGCGCTCGCGAGTAGTGCCGCCCTGTCCAGGGGCTGCGCGAGAAAGTCGAGCAAGTCGTTTGGTCACTGGAGCAGAGATGAGGCGACCACCGTTGAGCATCTTCACGGCGGCAACGTGCCACGCAGCAACCGTCACCTGGTTCATGGCCTCAACTTCCTTCTCTCGGCGGAGCTTCTCAGGGTCATCAATGATGTTATCATCGCCACGAGCAACATTGGCGCTGAGTCTCTTCTTGGCGGACTGTGGAACGACGCTGAGCTGGTACTTGCCGAGAAGCTGGTTGCGATGAGACTCCTTGAGGGAAACGCGCTGAGCCTGGATAGCCTCAAATCGAGCAAGCTGGTGGACAAACACATCCTGGCGCTGAATGCGGATGATGTAGTCTTGAAATGCCCGGTAGTAGGCAGACTCGCGGCGGACGAGCATGGAAGGCAGGCGCTTGGGGTGATCAGATGTGGAGACAAGGTTGGAGAAACGAACGCTCTTCTTGACAGGAACAATGGAAGTTTCTGGCTGAACCTTGAGGGGAGGAAGCTCGGTTTGAATCTGAGGAGCTTCAATCTCCTCCTCAGCCTCCTCAGTGATGGTGTTGAGCCCACCATCGTCCTCGGTTGACTCATCTTGGACACCACGAAGGTAAGATCGTTGAGCCATGAGCCAAAGCTCAGTGCGATCAAAATGGGAGAGAGCCTCCTTTTGTTGCTTGCGAGCATACTCAGGATCGTAGTCGACCACAATCTCGGTGGGGGCATCCTCAGCCTGGGGTGAAGCTGGGGCATTGGCGGAGTCGACAGTAGAGGGAGCAGTCTTGTGCTCGAAGACGGGTCGAGCAGTGGGCATATCGTCCGAGAAGTCATCCTCCTCCTTGAGCTCAACGACTTGCTCAACGATGGGCCCGGTGGGGGCGGGTGTAAACCTGACACTACGATAAAAGTCCTCGACGAGTTCCTTACGCTTAGGGACAGGAGGAACCGAAGCGTCCATGTTCCAGGGACATCGGTAGAACTGTTCAGCGGTGGTGGACGTAGGTGGTGGCATATCCTCGGGGGACTTGGAGGGCATGTGCCATGTGTTTCGGCTTCGGGGAGATAGACCGGAGAAGAAACCGCCAGGAGATGGAATATCAAGCTTTGTCAAGTCTGCAAGAGACTGACGGTTAGGGTTGGGAGAGAAGGCTCTGTTGATAGCTGGCTGCGACTGGAAGCTGGTGATGAGTCGCAGTGGTTGTTGTCGCATCTCAACAGTTGGCTGGACAGAATGTTGTTCAGGCACCTCAAGAACTTGAGATGGCTGTTCATGGAGGTTCTCCTCGCCACTAGCAAGGGCGTGGAGGGTAGCAAGAGCGCCAGGTTGTAGTTGGACGCCAGCCCAAGCATCTTCGGTGTTTGAATCCTCATTACCGATTATGGGTGTGGGCGGGGCACTCATAGCTGCGAGCTGCTCAGAAGTCAAACTCCCATCCAAGGATGGGGGAGCTGACATGGTTGGTGTCTCTGCTGCATGTTGCTCATGCATGAACTCCATCTGAGCAGGCGACATTGTCAGTTTGACAGAAGGGGTCAGAGGGACTGGAGAAGTCATCGACTTCTTCATGTTGTCCACAGCAGACCACGTCTCAACAGAGTTGTCGCGTGTTGCTGGAATGACAAGCGGGGTTGGTTGCTTGGTAGGGACCTGCCTCGACCTAGCAGACGCTTTTCGCTTGAGCATATCCTCTTCATCATCAGTCACATCGTAAAGGTCCTCGAACTCCGTGGCCTCGGTGGCGACACTATGGCGATTCCAGGGGTTGCTGGAGGTGGTTGGTGAAGTGTCGGCAGCCGAGTCAGTTGAAGGTGATGATGGGAGAATAGGAGCAGAAAGATAGTTCATTCCTCTTGGTGTAGGGAAGTGGTCGCTCATCGGTGTTAGCCATGCCTCAATCTTGAGTTGGGCATTGCCAGCGCGTCTCGTCCTGCGACCTCCGTTTTGAACCATACCATCGTCGCTATCCTCCTCAATTATAGGATTAAGTCTCCCCCTGTGCTTCCGGGCCAGCGAAGAGTCCAGGGGGTAGTATCGGTTTTGTGTATCAGCCATGTTGCGTATCTGTCAGTTATTCCCGATATCTGACTCCTGCCCGGGGGCTCAACGCAATAAGAAGGCTATGTATTAGTCGTTATAGTAAGATCTGTTCGACGACCGGCGTCAGTATTAAGTGCGTGAAAACGACAGGATGCCTCGATCAACGAAGCCTCTATGCAGAACTGCGAAGTGACACAGCACGGAAGGCTGAGGACGGAAAGAAGAGAATGCGGAAGAAGGGGGCCAGGCTGCTGGCCGGGGGATTGTCATAGTCTTAAAGCCCGAGGACTGGTCCAGAATCACCAATCTCGCTGGAGCGGCTATCCGAAGTGCGGGCTTAGAATGAGTTGGGCGGCACGCACTTGCAGTAGCACATCCCAACTCCACGTCTAGGTGGGCCGATGCGTCGACAGACATGGTAGCGTGCCGCACATGAAGCGTGGTGGAGGCGGGGCCTGAGAGCGCCAATATCCTGCTGGAGAACCTGACTGGCACACAAGGCTGCGAGTGCTATGTGAAGTTTGTTGGCGGTAGACAAGACGAGCAGAGGTTGCATCAGGGTAGCATCCATTCCCGGCCACTAGGTCGGTTGATCCCCGCTATCGAACAACTAATACATTCAAATGACCAATAGGAAACACGATCGTGTATTTCTATTTTTGGATGACAGCGATTGACAGGGGTAGAACCTGTTGCGCGCGCGAAAGTTGTGATGACAGTTACAGGCGTGAGAGACTATTGGTCCATTGTTACCGCTGTAGGGCCAATTAGCCGTAAAGTTGTTTCTTCGGCGGCTAACTGCCAGGACTGCCTCTTGGCCTGTGTCTCTCAAGTTGCTTTGAATGCAGAAACATTTTGTGATAGCACTGCCTGAGCGCATGAGCAAAGAGGCCATGAGGTCGCTCGATTGATACAAGTCATGCAACAGAGCTGGCCGAAAGGAGCGATTTCTGAACAACTCGGATGTCATTGAATGAGCGTAGGCTCGTTTGGACAGATCACTGGCCGTAGACAGTTCAAGATGAAATGAGGATGGCCAGCTTGGCAGGCCATGGTATGATCGATCAAACGTTGCGAGATGAGGCAACCGCCGAGATATGAGGTGATTGTTTGATATTTTTCGATCCAAAAGCCAGCTCACAATGTTGAATAAGTAATTTATGAATATGATACAAGTGACGTAGGTCATGTTCGACTTCACGGTGATCTCAAGGAGGCTCATGATGTAGATTCGGTAAGCATCCGTTCCCTCTTGGCTGTGGGGGCCGAGATGCCGTCGGTACAAGCAAGCGCGTATATAACTTCGATGCAACCTTATCGATATTATCACCAACGCGTAGTCCTCGTTTGTTACATCGCGTTGCATGGATGAGTCTTGCATTGGTTTGCTTGGGGATTTACCCACTAAAGTCGGAAGGCCTTGCATGTGCTGCCTCAGGCCTCAACTACGTCCACCGTGGTGAAGCAAGTCCTATGCGTGGCCTGAGCTCACTCACCTTGCTCACCTCGGCCGGCTCACCTTGGCTCACCTTGCTTGGGACAAGGCCCAAGTGCCCCTCCATGAAATTTACCCCGCCATAGGTTAAGCAAGATCAATCTAGCACGACGAGAGAAACGCGTACTACTTCCATACAACCATAGCCTTTTTTGCTCCAAGCTCTTTGCATACACTTACTATTATAGCATACAGCTTGGGATCTCTATGGCTGACGTTGAGCAAATGGAGGGCGAGCCCCAGGGACGTATTGTCAAGTATTGTGGCGGTATGTTCTTTTATGACGGCGTTTGATTGATCATGATGCAAAGCTTGAAGCAATAGCTGACACAACCTTGCTCACAGTTTGCACTCTACCCCCGGAGGTAAAAATCTCCCTTTACAAATCCACGCCTCGTCGAGAGAGTTCCACAACCTGATTAATCGGCCAAGTAGTACTGCGAGTATGGCGGAACCGTCAAGAAGTGCCAGGAATGGCTAGAAAAGAACGAACCAGAGCTTTACAACAGGATCTGGTCCGCAGGTACGAAGTCCAAAATGTCCAGGACATGGACATGCATTGACATTGAGCCGTATAGAGGCCCTTGAGGCTGCTACCGCATCACTATCCGTCGAGGCCCAGAAACGAGCCGCTAAGGACGCACAGAAGAAGACCGCTAAGGCTGAAGCCGCCGAGGCAAAACATGCCGACCTGTTAGCCAAGAGTGTTGTCACTATCAAGCGCATTGAGCGAAACAAGAAGAAGTTTGTCACGGCTGTGATAGGACTCGAGTCGTTTGACTTGGAACTCAAGAAGGTGGGTTTCCTACCTCAGCGGATGATCACCCCATACTGAACATACCATAGGTCGCCAAAGATCTTGGCAAGAAGTTTGCTACAGGCTCTTCAGTGACCAAGCTCCCAGGTGGCGGAGAAGAAATCGTCGTGCAGGGTGATGTCAGCGTTGAATTGGAAGAGTTCCTGCTTGAGAAGTACAAGCAGATCCCCGAGGATCATATTGAACTTGTCGAAGACAAGAAGAAGAAGAAGGGTGGTTCATAAGTTTGGGAGATACCAAAAGGCATTTGTGATTGAAAATTTCCAGAGTGTATTTTTTGGAAACACTCGCGCTCCTGGGTTTCTTATGGGCATATACAGTTTCAAAAGAATATCATAAAGTAACATGGAGCTTTCCAGTGCACCGCCATGCGCTTTGACCCTGAACTCCCATACCATGATCCTGCAATACTTGCCGAGACAATCAAAATACCAATTACGTTCTAGTGACACCTTCCATCAATGTTCGTTCTATGCTCGTTTTCGTAAAGTTCGTCCTGTACCCGTGCTTGCAGTTGAAGGGTTGCTCTTCGCTGTTGTTTTGCGAACTGCCCCTGTCGTCCCCTTACGCGATGCTGTCCCCCTTTTGACTGGAGCACTCTTGGTTGCGGGTCCCTTCCTTATCACGGTGCCATTGCTCGACTCACTGGACTCGCTGTTGGCAATGGATCTACGCGTTGTTCGTGTACCTGGCCGAGAAGTAGGCGCTCTTGAAGTAGTACTTGTTGCTGGTACTGCTTTCTTATTTCTGGTGGCAGCAGTAGTGCTGTTGGTCGACATTGAGCTTGTGGTAGAGTTTGTCGTCATCTTGCGTCCAGCGCCAGCGCCAGCGCCAGCGCCAGCTCGCGTCGCCTTTGCCTTCTCCACCATGCTTGACAGCATACCAGAAGCTGTAGCCGGGCGCTTCAGTGGTGAAGCTGGTCTTGCAATACCAGACTTAGTAGGTGATGGAGGCCGATTTGCCATTCGTGAGTTGGAGGATGTTGGCGACAAGATTTGCCCTGATCGGGCATGTGACACGTCCGTGGTTGTTGCAGCTCGAGCCCTCTTCTTAGCAGTCTCGGTATGCTCAACCTCGTTTTCCTTGTCTCCTGAGATTGCATCACTGGATCCTTGTTAGTTTACGAATTCAAGGTTTCATATTATGCATACCTCATGCGCTTCTTTGTGCGTGGGGCGGGTTTCAAATTATTAGCCGCCGATTGAATCTGCTTTGGCGGGCTTGCTGCCCATGTTGCTGTTTGTTTTCGCGTAGAGGTCGATTTCGCGGCTCGTTGTTGCTCCTGATCCACGAATTTCTGTAGCAAGTCTCCCATCTTCATATTCCTCATTGACATGGGGACGCGGTTGAGTCGCATTTCGATACGGGAGCGAACTGTTGTTGCCATGTAATTGTATTGGGCTCTTAATCGACGAGCGCGTTCTGTAACTGAGAGGTTGTCAGCGGTGCATTTCGTGACAAATCAACAACCACATACTCTCGAGTTGCATGTTATCGATCATAGCTTGTTTTTGTTGCATCGTGATAGCACCCGGCGTTCGCTTTCTGATGGGGCTTCGTGGTTGCGCTGAAGGGCTCCCGCTGTACAGAGGAACATGTTCAACCATGGTCTTCTTGAGAGGGGACTCAGCAAGCTGCTTTTTGGAAATTACTGGAGCCATCGTTATTATCAGCGCTGAATGTGTTTGAAGACAAATGCTAAAAAGTGCTGAAATGTAACTGAAGTTGCAGTGGATTACCCCAGGCGCGTTGGTTAGGGGTGGAGCTCGCTGAAAGTAAACAAAGTATGTGGGTCTGCATCATTAGGTAAGCCAACTAGCTGTTCTGGCGCAAGCAATTGGTGGCGGTGGGAACTGGGTATAGGTACACGTTGGTGCGCAATGATCCCCGCAGTAACCAAGTAGCACTACTTCACATCATCAAGCTACCTACACTCCGCCAGGCTGAACTGCGTTACGACACTGGGAGCTTGACCTTCTCACTATCAACCAAGCTAAACACCAATATCAAACACTTCCTCCACGTACAAACTTGCCACAAACTCCTACAGCTGCACACGATATTTGCACAGCTATAGAACAACAACAGCACCCAATATGGTTCTTGAGGCGGTTATGGTTGTCGTAGACAACAGTGAGAGCAGCAGAAATGGCGACTATCAACCTACTCGATTCGAATCGCAAGTCGACGCTGTCAACATCACCTTTCAGACCATCACACAAGGAAACCCTGAATCATCCGTTGGGTTGATGAGCATGGGAGGCAAAGGACCTGAAGTGCTGGTGACTCTCACCACTGAGCAGGGCAAGATCCTCGAGGGCCTTCACAGGACGAAGAAGAAGATTGGAGGCTCATCCCATCTCAAGACGGGTATCCAGGTGGCTACTGTAAGTCTCGAATACGGCTAAATATAGGGGTGCCACGTACTGACGTCTCTTTAGCTAGCCTTGAAGCATCGCCAGAACCGATCCCAGCGTCAACGAATAATAGTCTTTGTCTGCTCCCCCGTTGAGGAATCAGAGAAGGAGCTTACCACACTCGCAAAGAAGATGAAGAAAGCCAACATTTCGGTCGACTTTGTCCTGTTCGGCGACCTCGATGACGACAGCACTAAGAACAAGCTGCAGCTCTTTATTGACACCGTCAAGACCAACGAAGGCTGCCACTTGGTCGTCATTCCTCCCAGCAGCAAGCTTCTTAGCGACCAACTCATTTCGACCCCCATCCTCCTTGGAGAAAACGCTGGTGGATCTGGCGGAGCTGGAGGCGCAGGTGGTAGCAATGATGAATTCGAGTTCGGTTTCGACCCTGCAATGGAACCCGAGCTCGCACTGGCTCTACGTATGAGTATGGAAGAAGAAAAGGCTCGGCAGGAGAAGGCAGCTCGCGAGGAAGAAGAAGCTGCAAAGAAGGCCTCACTGAGCGACGTCAAGGAAGAAGATGAGAACCAGGGATCGAGCAGCAAGGACCAAGACAAGGGCGGAAAGAAAGGCGACGGAGACAAGATGGACACTTCATAGTAGACTGCGGTCCAGCTCTGTCAACATTGCAGCAAATGTATAATAGACACAGGCTAGGGGAGTTTTAGACGACAAGAAGATTAAAGCCATTACGATACATGCTGATTCCGATTACTCCGTAAATCTACCCAATACCCGTCTATCGATTATTGATCTCCCGGATGTACGAAAGTAGTTTCCGGTCAAAAATATCACACCGAATAGGCATTTCAAGAGAATAGAAGGGGTTCTTCATGACGTAGTCTGCATAGAGGTCATAGATCCTGCGGATAGTGACATCGACATTTGCTTGTGTTGTATCGGTGAAGAGAAGGAACTTTGTCCCTGTCATTGTGTTGAAGCACTGCATGCGGAAGTTTTCTGTCTCAAGAACCTCTAAGCCTGATGATGGCTCCGGTCTGTTTCCTGGCGGTGTTGCACCTGGTAGGTTCTTGACAGGATTGAGACGAGATGTAATGGCATGAACGCTGAGATTGATGTGAGTTCTGATGTGCCCATGAAGAGATTCGGGCAGCTTTTGAAGACTGAAGAGGTACTTACCCATGAAATGTTCCTGCGAGAACTAAATAATCATTTGTGCTGATTGTTTGAAGGCCTTCGTGGAAGTTTTTGTTGTAGACTAAACCTCCGGCCTTGTTGATGACGATGAGGGCAAAGATAGTCCTGGCTTATTAGCACCTATCTTCATCATACTTTAGTGTTCGGCCTCACATGATTTCTTTTGTGTGTGTATGATCGGTCTCTATCAGGACATGAATAGTCTGTTTAGCTTCCCCTGAGGTTCACTAAGCCATCTATTTCAAAGAGGAGACCATGAACAAGGTTGAGTGCTGAGAGATGAGGGAGATGAGCTGCGAATGAGAGAGTTAACGTCAGTCGCGGTTGTTCTGGGCGCCCTTACAGCCTGTAGCGATTAGTCTCATGAATCCCGTCGTTTCTAAGGGCCTATCGAGCTTCTTATCTTGCTGTTCGTTCTTCAAGGTTGACAGATTGACAAGCTGCCCTCAGCGGGGCCGCCACGAGACTCCATCACTGAAAGCAAGTGCCTCTGTTCAGGGAGGTGCCTGGCCTAAGACAGCCCCACTACCTAATTAAGCTGGGGTACGTACATTGCATTGTCTTGTTCTTCCTTTCAGCCTCCGAACTTTGGATTCTTCTAGGTTCGTCTTTCAACTTTCAATAATTCACTCCCGACTTTTCTGAATCCGAATCCCACTCATTCACCGACTTCTCCACAACATCCGCGCATCGAGTGCAGACACGCAAATACTACGCGATTAAGAATCCAGCTGAAGCGCATTCTATATAACTGCTCTCGCAATGGAGGACGAACAACAAATCCCAGCTGCTGCTGCGCCTAGGAAGGTTAACCACCCTCGCACCTCTCGACCCAAGCCTGCGGCTCCTGGTAATGAGGAAGCTTCCGCAGTTCTGAACCTTGGCGAGTTCCAAGATGTCGACACCTTGACGCTCTCCGAAGCTGCGCTGGTCCTGAATGCCCTCCACGCGAAACGAAAGAACGACCGTAGGAACGTCAACAACACCGAGTAAATATGCCTCCGTGGCCCTTAGATCGTGGGGCGCCAGGACTGACCCTTGCTAGGATGCTGAACTCGACATTGACCTACCTCGACAACTTTGCGCGATTCACACAGAAGGAGAATGTAGAGGCTGTGGAACGCCTTCTTAGCGCACATAAGAACCTCGCCAAGTTTGAGCGCGCACAGCTGGGTACGATCTCCAGGCTTTACTAAAAGATTATACGTTTCTTGAAAATACTAACAGGCTGTCTTCAGGTTCTCTGTGCTGTGAGGGAGCAGACGAGGCCAAGACACTCATCCCTTCATTGGCCGACAAGATTTCGGATCAGGACCTTCAGGACCTCCTCGATGAGATCTCTAAGCTCCAGAATCGATGAAAGGCTTACCTAGCAACAAGATCTGACTTGAAGAAAATTTTACCCAAGAACGGCATAGCTTTTACAGATTGGTTATCACATATCTATTTTTGACATCAAGAATGACAGGGAGATTTTGGAGGTGGGAGATAAAACTCGAGACTCGAGGATAACGAATTATCTTGCATTTGAGGCGCATAGCGGGGAAAAGGGACACCCCATATTGTATTCAGGGGATGCAGAGTCATGCCCTTGCAATTTTCCAGGTTTGATTTCAAGATGGCATGTTCCTTGCCTCGACAGAACTTGGAACGTTTTGTTCTTGCACTACTTATGTTTTATGACAAAAGACTAATAAATCGATTTGCTTCAATCTCGGTGAGTAGAGCTCTGGCGACATGAGTTTGTCTGCGAACTTGCTGGCTTCATTCGTGATGTGGAAGCCTCTGATACACCAGAGAGTCACAGGTTTCATTATGAATTTCCAAAGGCCATGCTCAGGAACTCTGCTGATGGTACTAACAAGTGCCACGGAGCAATAGTGGGCTAGAATTGCGTATGATTGTCACAGACACCACTTGCCTGACTTGGTCAACATATTCATATATAAGGAGTCAAACTACAGTTCAGACAACTACCGTATCAATCGACTTGAGGAAATCCCGAGCATTTCCGCCAGTACTGTGATCCTGCTCCGCAACATGCCTCGAGAAAGCATCTCCCGTCTTAATCACAAATTCTGGGATCTTGACATTGCCCTTTGTCCACACAAACCCTTTGCCTCCATCAGCGGTCCTCTCAAAGCCACGCAGGGCTTTGGGCTTGTAGCTCGGAATTTTGCTCATGCGATACTTGACGCACGGATGGATCATTTCATATGTATCACCTATCTCGCGACCTTTGTCGTCCTTGGTATAGTTGCCAGGGACTCTGTCGACGGAGCCTCCGGCGATCATGGCGCCGGTGAAACTATCAACAATAGGCCCAGTTGCCCAGCCGCTGACCGTCTCCTCTGGGATCTTACGAACGTCTGCTTTCTTGATACCTGTGCGGTCCAAGGAGGCTGCGATGCGGCTAGACAATGGCCCTGGGCCGTAGTCCTTCTCATCTCCGTTTTGAATATTAGTCAGGAGTGGTTTGAGGAGGTTGTAGCGGTCTTGGACTGCTGATTTGCCGAGCTCGCCCAAGCTACCGTCTTCGACGAACTGTAAGTAAGGAGCGACTTGCTCACACATCCAGGCGAATGAGATCAGTGCGATTTCTATTCTCGTCAGTGCCCATCCAGCAGCTCGGACATACAACAACTTACGCTCGAGATCACTCTTCTTCTCAGTAAGGAGGTCATCATTCCCGCCGCCAATGTTGATGTGTACGCCTGGAAACCATACTTGTAATAATTCTGACTTATTGCCCTGGAGATGTTCATACATCTCACCGTCAACTACAGCACCCCATGCATCTTGTAGCTGCTTTTTTGTTGCGCTGGAGTTCTTGTACATCTTCTCCCAGTCGGACCAAAGCTGCTCCACATCCTTAGCAGGCTTGGGAGGGTCATGGTCCTTGTTGGCTGGGAAGTGCCAAAGACTGGGAGAGAACGGTGCTCGATGTTCGTCCAGAGCCAAAGCATGGTAAGCATGCTGAATGTCTGTGAAGTTGTCAGCTTTGAGCTCATGAATTGCGAGAGGGGTTACTAACAGGGACTCAGATGAATGTTATGAAATCCAGGGTCAGCGATCCCGACGGC